TTGCTATTGCCACTATCATCTGAAGAAGAGATTTGATATGTTAGACACTAAAGATCAGAGGAGTTGTGGGATGCCATCAAGAACATCATACAGGAAGAAAGCAAAAGGTCATTAAGAAGGAAAAGACTAAAATGGATGCTAAAGCCACTGGATGAAATGAGGAGGTACAGAGCTGAACAGAAAATTTCAAAGGTCAGTCAAAGAAGATAAAGTCACATATTATAGCAAATTATGCAAAGACCTGATGTTAGAAAACCAAAAAGGAAGAACACGATCAGCATTTCTCAAGCTGAGGGAACTAAAGAAAAAATTCAAACCTTGACTTGCGGTATTGAAGGATTCAATGGGGAAATTACTGACTGATGCAGAAAGCATCAAAAGAAGATGGAAGGAATACACAGAGTCACTGAACCAAAAGGAAATAGTCAATGTTCAACCATTTCACTAGGCAGCATGTGATCAAGAGCCAATGATACCGAAGGAAGAAATCCAAGGTACATTAAAGACATTGGCAAAGAACAAGGCATCAGGAATTGATGGGATACAAACTGAAATATTTCAAGAAAGTGAGGCAGCACTAAAGGAACTCACTCATCTGTGCCAAGAAATTTGGAAGACATCTACCTGGCCAAATGCTTGGAAGATATACGTATTTATGCCTATTCCAAAAGAGGTGACACAATTGAATGTGGAAATCACCAGACAATGTCATTGATAGCCCATGAGAGTAAAGTTTTACTAAAGGTAGAGCCATTTACAGAAACGGCTGCAACCATTCTTTTATAGGTAACTTTCAGAGGTTCAAACCAGTCCCAGAAGAGGATGTGGAATGAGGGATATCATTGCTGAAGTCAGATGGATCTTGGCCAAAACAGAGAATACCAGAAAGATGTTCACCTGTGCTTTTTGACTAAGCAAAGGCTTCCAATTGTGTGGCTCATGACAAACTATGGACAACATTGTATGAGTATTCCAGAACATTTAATTGTGCTCATGAGAAAGCTGTACAACTGCCAAGAGGCAGTTGATCAAACAGAACAAGGGAACACCGAATGGTTTAAAATTAGCAAAGGTGTGTGCCAGGGTTGTATTCTTTCACCATACTCATTCAACCTGTATGCTGAGCAAAGAATCTGAGAAGCTGGGTTTTATGAAGGAAAACATTGCATCAGTATTGGAGGAAGATTCATTAACAAACTGCAGCATACAGATAATATAACTTTGCTTGCTGAAAGTAAAGAGGACTTAAAATATTTATGGATGAAGATCAAAGACCACAGTCTGAAGTATGGATTGCATTTCAGTGTAAAGAAAACTAAAATAGTAATCACTCAATAAACAGCATTCTTATAAATGAAAAAAAAAATTGAAGTTGTCAAAGACTTCATTTTTCTTTTATCAACCATTAACACTCATGGAAGCAGCAGTCAATAAATCAAACAAAAGCGAAATGCAGGACCTTATCCAGAGAAGCAGCGACATCAGAGATGGAGGCAGAGATGGGGACATGGAGAAAGGGAACAGCTGAAGACTCAACTCTGGATTCATAGAAAGAAAGGGACTGAGAGCTGG